GGAAGGAAGGAAGGAAGGAAGGAGAGAGAGAGAAGGAAGGAAGGAAGGGGAGCAGGGAACCCCAGCCCTGACAGGCTGAGATTGTAGGGCTTGTGTGTGTTTGTGTGTGTGGCCTTTGGATGTATTATGCCTTGTTGTTGTTGTTGTTGTTGTTGTTGTGTGCCTCCTTCCAGTCGTTTCCCACTTATGGCCACCCTGAGGTGAACCTGTTACCTCCTGAGGTTTTCTTGCCCAGGTTTGTTCAGAAGGGGTTTCTTCCTTTTTCCATTTTGTTGTTGCTGTTAGCCATGGCTTTCTCCTGAGGCTGAGAGAGTGTGGCTTGCCCAAAGTCACCCAATTGGGTTTCCATGGCTTTATTGTGTGTGTTTTCCATTTATGGCCACCCTAAGGTGAACCTATTACCTGAGGTTTTCTTGGACAGGTTTGCTCAGAAAGGGTTTTTTTTTGACGTGGCTTTCCCCTGAGGCTGAGAGAGTGTGGATTGCCTGTGGTCACCCAGGGAGTTGACTTACGGCCATCTTAAGGTAACCTGATCACAGGGTTTTCTTGTCCAGGTTTGTTCAGAAGGTTTTGGTTTTTTTGCCATGGCTTTCCCCTGAGGCCGAGAGAGTGTGACTTGCCCAAAGTCACCCAGTTGGGTTTCCATGGCCTTATTGTGTGTGTTTCTGGTCACTCTGAGGTGAACCTATTACCTGGGGTTTTCTTGACCAGGTTTGTTCAGGTTTGGCCATGGTTTTCCTCTGAGGCTGAGAGAGTGTAACTTGTCTACTCTAGGGTCACCTAGGGGGTTTCATGGCCTTTGTGTTTCATGGCTTTCCTCTGGTACCACAACAAACTACGTTTCCCAAAATTCCATAGCATTGAGCCATGGTTGTGAAAGTGGTGTCAAACTGGATTATTTCTGCAGTGTGGATTATTTTCATGAGAAAATTTGGGATATTTTCACCGTTTCAGATAACTACGGTAATCTGGTTTTGAGAATCAGTTGTTCTTTAAAAAAAGATAAGATAGGACCTGCTTAGTCAGACATC